GCGCCCGAAGGGAGAACAGCTAACGTAGTGTATCCCAGGGCGCTAACATAATTGCATGCTGTAGTATAGTACGGTATTTATTCGTTGCATGCCATTCTACTGGAAAATCCAAAAAAAAATGGAAAATATAAAATCCAAAAAAATTGGAAAACACAAAATCCAAAAAAATGACAAAACGAAAACCCAAAAAACTGGCAGCCAGCGGCGGTCAGGGAAGGTGGGTGGGACAAGCAAGAAGCTGAACAAATCCAGTCGAGCTTCCTTCCTTACTGATGAGTTCCGGGGAAAGCCTAGGACCTGTTTAGCCAAACCAAAGTCTAAGGGTAGGAACGAAACGGTACAACTAAAGAGCCAAAGTTGTATTCCTCTTCTTGAGGAATACATTTTCGGCTTTTTTTGACCGAAGTGTATGTGATGCCGGGCGGAGCCGGGTATGCCAGCTAGTCATTACTTAATCATAGAGCGCTTGGATCGTCTGTCTGTGTGTATATCTGTCTGACACGAAATTCATAGAGCGGGTTGCACCAAACATCTCGAGCCAGAAACGCAGGTCACCAGCATGTAGGTCCATTATCCAACAGCACGAGCGGATCCGCTGCACCTATGGAAACTGCGCATCAAACCGCTCAGACCCTCACAAAGGCCGGCGGCCATTCCATAAATCTGGACGGAGCTAAATGCCGGTCGGTGACCGCTCCAAAAAAATCATACCGGCCGGCGGCCGATCAAACGGTCGCCAGCCGGTAGCCGGTAAGTCTATTATTTTACGAATTTGGCGCCAAAAAGAATTGGCTGCGTAAATGTTCAATTTGTCAAGGTTTTACCTGATCATTTGTAAAGATTTTTGCGCGTAGATGTATAGTCCCCTCCACAGCTCGTGCTACCCTTGGTCTGCGTCTCAGACCTGCCACGTGTGGCTAACATGTTGGCAACGCAGCAACAACATGTTTGCAACATGCCACAACATGTTGGCAGAAATTTTGGCCACGCGAACATGTTTCTGCATGTTGCCAACGTGTTGTTGCCAACGTTGTCAACGTGTTAATTACACGTGGCACGTCCGCGACGCCAGAAGGGTAGCAGCAAATGTGGAAGGGACGATAGCTTACGATGATTATTATCATTAAGACGACCATAGATGCGATAGGTGGGGAAATTTCTCTGACCCCCTTCACTTTAGGGCCGGCATCTAGCTGACCTCTTTCACCTGAGGTTGAGATTAGAATCAAGGCATAACGGCAGAATGAAACAGCTGTTACAGTGACACTTTTTGTTTAGAAAGGAAAGCTGCTCTTTTTCTCAGATATCAATACTGCAAGAAATTATCGAATCAACAGCGTTTTGTTGAAAAACACATGCTCGAGACCTTCTACGAACTCAAAGTGGCGTTGCTAACGAAACATAATCAGAAACAAAGCGGATGTCTGATTCTTTGAATAATTAACATTGTATCAATGAATGCACATTATCTCAAGAAAGAGTTGAGCAAGAGTAGAAAGTTTGGACTAAGAGTGATGGATGCATGTTTGTTAAATAATCGTACCATATCTCCTTTCAGTAGGGAGAATAATAACAAATAAAAGAGCAGTTAGATTACTCGCTTCTCAAGCTTTCGAATCATATACTCAGACAATCGCTGGGGCAGGCGGGCACCGGAAAAATAGATTGCTGATTTCTCGCACCCCGCTCGCGGATTTCTTGGGCTCCCGCCAGAGTGCCGAAGTTATGCCAGCGCTACGCCAGCATTTCGATCGATACACGTGTATTTCGTTGGGGCGGGGCTAGCCGACGTCCCCAACGAAATACACGTGTATCGATCGAAATGCTGGCGTAGCGCTGGCATAACTTCGGTACTCTGGCGGGAGCCTTGCAAAGCAATCAGGACTTTTCGGAAGACCGCTTGCTGGGTCAGCGGATTTTTGAGAGACCGCCTGTTGAATTTTTTTTCGCTCTTATCTTTTGCAGATATATTGCTGAATCTCTGAGGAATCGAGAACTCAGCAAGCGGTCTTCCGAAAAGTCCTGATTGCTTTCCAAAAAATCCGCGAGAGATGACGGGGTGCGAGAGATCAGCAATCTATTTTTCCGGTGCCCGCCTGCCCCCGACGATTGTCTGAGTATGAAAGTTTGAAAACCTCTTTGGTTTCAAAAGACAATTATCAAGAATTGGCTGATATTGTAGCTAGATGAAACTGCTCGTATCTCCCCTCACAGAAAAGCTAGGAAAAAAGAGACGGTCTACGTCGATTCCCCGTGTTCTTAGCTATCGAATAGTATATAAAGTGTTGCTGCACAAAACTTTCCCGGTCCAAAAAAGTCTTTCTTCGGCGACCCATAAAAAGCCGGAGCGGGGGGGGGAGGGAGAAAGTTATTATTTAGTATCTCCACCTCATTTTTGAAACGCCACAAGTTTTTTCACCCAACAACCTATCTAGCATTAGAAAGCCCACGAAAAAAGGATTCGACATAGACCGTCTCTTTTTCTCTAGCTCCCCTCTACCTAGAGATACATGGCATTTTAGCTAAAAACATGTGTGTTTTTGTCAAGAAATTCTTGCGTGAAGAACGAATGAATGCGCCTGATTGCCTAACAGTATCACAGAGCCAGACCTTGCCAGTAAACGTAGACCGTCTCTTTTTCTCTACCTTTGTCCTTTCTTTCAAAAATGAGCACAAAATAATTACACAAAATTAGCTGGTGAGTAGGCGTACAAAACTGCTAGCATCTCGCTTCACAGAGAAGCTGCGAAGAAAGAGACGGTCTACGTCGATTCTCCATGACCTCAGCTTTCGAATGGTACAAACCATGTGTTGGGGCTTTCTTGCTTCTCGGCTTCAAAAAGCACTTGCTCCAGTGACCGATAAAAGCCAATACATTGAGGGAGCTGGGTGGAGAGCTAATAGTAAATATCTCCACCCCATTTAAACCAATTCTTTTCGCCCAGCAGTCTATATACCATTCGAAAGCTCAGAAAAAGGGCATTCGACGTAGACCGTCGGCTTCTTTCTAGCCCCCTCTACCGAAAGATACCTGCATTTTATCTGAAATCATGTCCATTTTCAACAGCAGATTTCCAGATTTCTTTCAGACGAAGACCTAATCACTGCTGGTTATCTATCTATGTTGCAGAGCAAATCTTCATTAACAAACGTGGACCATCGACTTTCTCGTAGCATTCATTTGGAGAGCAGAAAGTGAAGATACAAAATCAGTTGGTATATGTACATAAAATGCCTCAAATCTCGCGGCACAGAAGACCTAGGAAAACGTCGACGCTTCATGTCGATTCTACATGACCTCAGCTTTAGAATGGTATGTAACTTGCTGGGGCATTTTGCTTTCAGGGCTCACTTACCCCCTTCACCTTACAAGGATGGGAGTAGCAGAGACCCCCTTCACCCGAAGAGGGCCCGGCTCCCCCTATCGCACCTATGAAGGCGACTACCAAGCCATGAAAAGTCCAAAGACCAATTTAAATTTGCACTTACGATTAGTTCTGAGAAAAGTTTCATCCACGAATTACTGATCTCACGTGAAAAAGCTTCAGAAATGAGTAGTTGTTTACAGATCGTTCGTGATGGTCTGCATGGCAGGGTGAGTTTCAATGTCATTATAGTGGGAATGAGTAACGCATACAGATAGTGGGACTAGTGCGAGCCTCTGCGAAGAGAGGTGACGCACTGGTATATATCCAGATATCCATATCTGCGCGCCTTTGTGGGCGAAATTATTAGCCGTTTAAGGTCATTAATCTGCTAAGAAATCGTGCATGAAAAGCGCAAATTTGGCGGTACAGAGCCATGTTAGAATTAATGCTGGGCCAAAACAAGCAGTTAATTACTCAACTTGAATGGTGAGCTGAAAGTGCAACAATGGCTCAATTCCGCGATTTTTGTGTACGATTTTCTCGCAAAAAAAACTGCTTATAACTTCATCCACAAAGGCGCTAAGGAGACATGGAATACAGATTTGAAACCAACGTTTAACGCTGCACTGAGTGGTAGGCAGCTTGCTTGGATTGGCCACTTCGACTTCTGACCATTCCCATGTGAGTAGGAACTTTTAAGGGAGTGGAGGTTATAAGGCAGCATGGGGAGAGGGAGGAGGGTCATTCAGTGTTAAAAATGCCCTGGGAAGAGTGCACTTGGCTGATAAAACTTCGCCGAGTTTGAGCGCTTGCTCATGGGTGAAAAGGTGTTGAGGGGAGGGGGTGCCATCCTCAAAGGGTCGGATAGCAAAACGCTAGCAAAATTCAAGTATCTGTAAAACAAAGGAAGAGCGATGCGGTTTGAAGAAGCTGGGAGGAAGCAGACATAATTCGTTGCCACTTCTGATAAGGAAATCGAAAACTTCGAAAGCATGAGATCCATGACTATGATGACCTCTGGGGTCGTTACGATTTTAAATCCGTGCCATACGTGCGAGGAAAAATTTCGCTACAAATCTTCGTAAGGTTCTAACTTTTAGTTACATCTTACTTCATACACACACAGCCAGTCCGCCGCTTTGCGGCGCTTTGGATTGGTATAGATATATTCTGACAAAAGTGTGAGCGGAAGACTCGAAAACAACGTATAAGGCAATGTACTCAACAATTTGAACTTTTGCCTCAGCTCATTACCAATTTGAGGAAAGATAAAAACAACCTCGAGCAGCATGGGTGTGGAAACATAGATGCCACATAATCAAAGTCCAGAGTGAAACTCGGAATTTGTGCGAAACGTGAAGTCCAAACATGCTTTTCTTGGTCAAAGTAATGAAACGACAAAAGTGAAGTAATGCAACAGTTCCCTCTTGAGCCATTCAATGCTTTTGGAAAACCAAATCTGTTTACAGAAGCCAATAATCAATGTAATATACATATACTAAGATCGTGACAAAAAATCGGCGGTTACTTTGCTCCAATGCGGTTGGTCTCGCGACGAAGAAGTTTTTACAGTTTTGACGACGAAACCTTTGTTTAATTTTTATATGTACATATTCATTGTGTTTCGATACCATGCTTCTTAGTTTATTATACTTTCTGAAGCTCTCAGAGATTTCTGTGTATGCATGCACTCGGCGAGAATTGTAGTATCTTGCGCTTTTCATGTTATCTGTTAGTTTGGGTGAATATCGGTAGTCATAGTAGTCTTTCACACTTGTTTTTCTTCAATATAATGTTGGCCAATTATTTGAATGTAAGCAGTATGACTGAGAATGTCGCTCCTGCACCCAATGGCGAGAGCATTGATGAGAGAGTCGTAAAGCAGCTTGAGGTATGGTTGGTTTAATCCCTTTAGTCATTTCAACTTATTGTTAGTCATTTTTCAGTACTATTTCGGGAACATTAACCTTCCGAGAGACAGATTTTTGCAAGACAATATGAAGCAAGATGATGGGTGTGCGTTGCTCCTTTTACATGTGTGCATTTTCAAAAGTTAAGCACAAAAGATTTCCAGGGATACCAATAAAAACGCTACTCACTTTCAATAGGCTTGCTGCCATAACGACTGATGCTGACGTAATTGCAAATGCTGTGAAAGTTAGTTTTTTCTCAAATGGGGTCTCCAAATGCAAATGATATGATATGACAGTAATCATACTTACTTATAGTTATTTCATCGCTCTTATTTGAGGCTGCAAATTCTGAGATCATCAGTGTTTCTGAGGATGGCCAGAAAATTCGTCGAAACATCGGTAATCCATTGCCTGAAAACTCGTTGGAGTACTGGCAGAAAATAAAGCATTGCACAGTTTACATGGTGAGTTCGACTCGCGCTATTTGCCGCTCAATATCGCTCAGGCTGGTGCCATCAGATAAGCTTTACAGAAGGGATTTGAACAGAACACTAGTCTTGATGATATTATGACTTTCGCCAAAAAATTTGGGCAAGTAGAGAACGTGCTGATGAGACGTACAAAACCCGACCGAGTTTTTAAGGTAAGCAGACCTACTGTCAATATAAACTGTGTAGTTTGACGTAAATCAGCGGTCTCATTGGTTGCTTGCTGCTTTAGGGCTCTGTGTTCATCACCTACAAAACAAGAGAAGAGGCCGAAAAAGCTCAAAAGGATGATGCAAAATTTGGAGAAATAGAGCTCAAGAAGATGATGCAGGATGATTACTGGGCAATGAAAAACCAGGAGAGCAAGGTTGTTGTTTCTAATTCTTTGGTAGCTTCCGTATAGGTAATTGTTTCCATCTTGTGAGAGTAATGGAGGTCACATTAGGTCAGTGCAAAAGTTCTGTCAGTTCTTTGAATCCACCGACAAATACTATAGAAGAAAATAAACGAATATTTCAAGCTGTATCCGATGCAGAATTTCTTCCTCTTTCCAACTGTTACACTCACCTTGTGATTCGTTTAGGACTGAGATAATCTCTGGAAAATACAACTCATCGTTTTCACCGTCACAGTTTTCGCCGGTTCTAAACTATTTGAGACTTTTAGGGGAGCTCTGATAGCCATCAAGTGGGGCAAACCTTTTGTCATTTGAACTTTTCTTCTTTTTTCGACTATTCGTTTAGAATTTTTCCTAAAGTCTTGAGTTTCGAACGTTATAATATGTTACTGCACCGAACACTGCGAAATCTTCAACATATCAAGGTTTTGACTCTTGATTATTACTACTATCAATCTTACAAAGTGTGAGCGATTTTCGCTTCATATGAACATTTTGAAACTTGAGGTACGTCAATGCGCACTCTTAAAGTTGAGAAATACTGCGATTTCCCCTGCAGATTTCGCGTGTTTTGTCAAGAAAAGACAACTGTTAGGAAGAGGAGAAAAAGTTGGCTCGAATGGTACATAAATTGTTTACCGTTTCATTCTACAAGGTCAGAATAGGCCGAATGGTAACAAAATACAAATGGTAACTTCAAACATGTTTTAGAAATTCTGAAAGACAAGCCATTGGGCTACAAGAAATTGCTACAGTTGGCAAAGGGTTGCCCTATCAGAATTTTTGGAATATCAAAGGTCCCACAAAAGTACTAGATAAGTATTTTGGAAATTAGCGAAAGTCAGACATGGTGAAAACGAAGAATGTCCAGCGATTATCTCGGCAATGAATCACACTGTGATATGGCTCTGGAATGAGCAAGAAATCTTGCGTCGAATACAGCTTGAAATGTTTGCTCATCTCCACTGTACGGAACTTGCGGGTCATCTCAATTGATTGTGTTCAGTTTCTCATATCTTGATTTCAAATTCGATTCAGGAAAAACGTCAAGCAGAGAAGTTGGCAAAATTAGCCAAAAATGCTGCAGAGCACGCGGAAAAAATCCAGGCCAAGGTTTGATTGTGTATAGGCGATTTATAGCACGCAAAGACTGCGGCAGTATCGGCGTTTCTCTGATCGAGCGCTCTTCCGTTTCTCTTTTCATCTGCTGTCTTTCCAATGCACAAACTATCTTGGCCGTACGCAACGGCGCCCAGTCTTTGCGACTCTTAAGTCGCGTATGCCTTGATTTTTTTGCCACATTCATTCTATCTTCAGACTTGCGCGAAATTCGTGAAAGGATTGATTTTATCTGTTGACGGACTTCCTGACGACACAACAGTTGCTGCTATCAAAGAGTTTTTCAGAAAATTTGGTGATGTCGGTTATGTTGTGTATGAAGCTGGTCAAAGCAAAGCTGAGATTCGGTGCGATCATGATTTGATGTTGGTGATTATAACTTTTTGATCTCTTTCAGATTCTCTGGTGCTGAAAATGGAGCTCAAGAAGCATGGAGTAAAGCTGCTGCAGCCGGAACTGATGGAAAGGTGCTGTTTCAAGAGAAGGAAATCACTGCAAAGGTGCGAGTAGTTTTTTCTTCAACGTCTCGTTTTTGGGATGACAGAGCTCATTTTTTCTTAATCCTTATCCCACCTTCGCTAGTTTGACTTACGAATGGTGTTACTTCGTACACACCTAGCAGTTACCCATCTTGAAAATCTCGAAGTACTAGTTAATGCAACATCATATAACATAGTTTAGGTGTTGGAAGGAGAGGAAGAGGAAAATTACTGGACAGCATTTAATGCAAGTAAGCAAAATAAATTTGACCGTATGAGCGCCCGACGTGGACGCGGCAGAGGGCGGTGAGTTTCTTGCACGTTTCTATCTCACAAATTAAGGACCTCTTTAGTGGTGGGTATGGTGGTAGGGACCGCGGACAGAAACGCCCAGCCGAACGGGACGATGCCCTCAAAGGCAAGAAAATAGTGTTTGAGGACGATGATGGGAAACCCGAACCAGCTGGAACAGATTCATTGAATGGAAGTGGCGGTTTTGCTGAAACAAAATCAGAGTCGGTGAAGGATGTGGAAAGTAAACATGAGTCATCGAAGCCAATAGAAAGCAAAGAGGAGTAGCACTAGGTTTGTAGTTGTCATGTATTATATTACTGATTTCATATTTGTCACACATCTTGAATTGATCTTTGGTGAATAACCTTTTTTTTTTGTCGTGAAGAATTTGTTTCCGATGAATGCTTGTACTTGCTATGTGTCAATTTGAAAAACTTTTTTCCTCAGTTAATCTTGTTAGCGCAGTGATGTTGTGCGGAATTTGTTTGTTCAAAGTTGTTGATTGTGTGAATAAATGATGATCAATTGATTTGTCTGATTTTAGACTTGTACACGGTGAAATTAAAACTGATCTGTGAGTTTTACTATTTGTGCGTCTCGATAGGCAATTCTTGCTACACAAAATCTGCTAATTGTAAGCTAGCCTATTTGACCAGAAAAATAGGAGAATCGATTTCGTTGGGGTGATTTGGTTTGCGGTAAATACCTTCAAGTCTATAACAATGAATATTTGTCGTCTACTCTGACCCGGTTTTTACAAACTGCATAGTTTCCACCAACAAGTTCGAACCTTCCAGCATCTACTTTACGCTCCGCTACCTAGCCACTGTGGTGGTGCTACACGTTTACAGTTGATTTAGCGTTCTCCACTACGCGGGCCGAGTGTGCGCGAAATAGGCCTCATAACTCATCCCCCCCCCCTGCCAAACCCTTCGGCAGACAGCGACAGTGCTTTTGACATTATCTTACCAGGAGTTGCTTGCTGGTATACATCTTTGAAAAGGCCACTTATTGTTAGACCAATCATCCTACCCTTGTTAATTAACTCTTCAAAGAATATGTTTCAGACTCATCTATGCTGTTAGCTCTGGTTTCATACCAACAGCTTGTATTATTTTGTGCCACCACTTTATGCTTGAGTGATTTTGACTTGCCAGGAAAGACGTGGAAAAAGATTTCCTATTTCAGAAAAAAACACTTGGGTCAGGGCTCGGCACGAGGTGGCTAGATGAAAATGCAAAACACGAAGTTCCCCTTGACTTCTGGGAATTTTTACGAAGTCCCCTTTGACCCTAAACCATATTCCCTAAAAAACTCTAAATAATCCCTAAAAATTCTTCAAAAAACGAAACGTCGACTAAAAAACGTCGCCAATTTTGCGTGTCTTCATCCACAAAAACGAAACCCCTTTGCTTTTTGTCCCAAAAACGATATCCAGCTTGCTTGTAAGTCACCTGTGCCGAGCCCTGACTTGGATCCATTCGCCTTGTTGCGGTGTTCAGCTTCTTTTTCCCCTGCCACTTAGCCTCAACTACTCAAATAATCGCCGGGGGCAGGCGGCCATGCGAATTTTGAGCAAGCGCGCACCGGAAAAATAGGTTGATTTTTTGCCGCCCGCCTGCAGAAATTTGGAAGAAAATTGGCGAAATTAAAGACGAATGCTTGAAGAACAATCGCGGTTTCTTTATGGATTAGCTGCGGCGCAGTGGCCGCATTCTCGCGGACTTTCCGCGAGAATATGCAAAAATTTCGGGGGCCGCACGGTCCTTTGTGGAGGACCGCGCAACCCCCAGGCCTCAAACTTGAGTAATTAAACCAACGGTGACACTTCTGCCACACAGAGTCTTACTTGCGCTCGACATACGCCCGAAAATGCCTAAAAAGAGTCCGAGCGCTTGCTGAAAGTTTGGCCAGCGCTCGCTGAAAGAAATTATTTGCCGAGCGCTTGCAAAAAATGCTGTATTGCTGCCCGCTGGCAGAATATGCGACCGTAAAGGAAGTGCCGCCCGCTGAAGGTTTGGCCACGCCCCAAAATTCTGCTGACCGCCTGCAGAAAAGCGCGAGTTTGCGGACCGCCTGCCCCCGGCGATTATCTGAGTACAACCACTGACTCTTGGTTAACTCTGTCATTTAATACAAGTCCAAGCTGAAACACTCATGTATTTTACCTTTTCATGTATCAGGTCGTCCAAAAGTATTTTCGCTTTTCAAACACCATAATATATCTGAGTACAACCACTGACTCTTGGTTAACTCTGTCATTTAATACAAGTCCAAGCTGAAACACTCATGTATTTTACCTTTTCATGTATCAGGTCGTCCAAAAGTATTTTCGCTTTTCAAACACCACATGCCGCGGAACAAACGTATAAAGAAGATTTTGGAGGCGTTCGATGCGCTTTTTATGCTCTTTCGAGAGAAAGCCACTATGCTGCAGTTTGACAAACGAGCTCTCAGATAATTACCAAAAACTGCTACCCATGGTTTTGTCATGGGCAAGTTCCGCGATTTTTATTAATTTTTGTACGATCCCCCTGAAAAGTCCAAATGACTTGTAATTACAGCGAACTCTATGAGACACAATACAACTTTTCTTCCTTTCATAGCTTGCTTCAGAAAATTTTGAAGATTAGTTATGCTATCAAATTCCATATCTGGTTAACTCAAACCTCATGGAACATCAGCGTGCGAGCAACTCGAGTATTAATCGATGCAGCACTTTCTTCCTCTTCCAGCAGATGGTTTTGTGTTTCTGATTCGTAAACTCTTTGGAGATAAAATTCATATTTCATGTTTCTGAACGTGCCCCCGGCTGTGGTTGGAAAATACGAATTTCGTTTTTCGAGTTCGTAAGCGCACATTTCCTTGCTTGATTAGTGTAAAAACTTCACTTCAGCAAGTTTTAAATTTGTACTAGTGAGTTTGTACTACTAATTTCTACTAGTGCTTGACGTGTTTGTGTCTGAGTTAGACCTGCTAAAATCCAATGGTTTGTTACTTATCAAAAAATCAAGACCTTATAATAACGGGCTAAGGGTTGCTTACGTGTTTTTTGTGTGTGTGTGTGTGTGTGTGTGTGTGTGTGTGTGTGTGTGTGTGTGTGTGTGTGTGTGTGTGTGTGTGTGTGTGTGTGTGTGTGTGTGTGTGTGTGTGTGTGTGTGTGTGTGTGTGTGTGTGTGTGTGTGTGTGTGTGTGTGTGTGTGTGTGTGTGTGTGTGTGTGTGTGTGTGTGTGTGTGTGTGTGTGTGTGTGTGTGTGTGTGTGTGTGTGTGTGTGTGTGTGTGTGTGTGTGTGTGTGTGTGTGTGTGTGTGTGTGTGTGTGTGTGTGTGTGTGTGTGTGTGTGTGTGTGTGTGTGTGTGTGTGTGTGTGTGTGTGTGTGTGTGTGTGTGTGTGTGTGTGTGTGTGTGTGTGTGTGTGTGTGTGTGTGTGTGTGTGTGTGTGTGTGTGTGTGTGTGTGTGTGTGTGTGTGTGTGTGTGTGTGTGTGTGTGTGTGTGTGTGTGTGTGTGTGTGTGTGTGTGTGTGTGTGTGTGTGTGTGTGTGTGTGTGTGTGTGTGTGTGTGTGTGTGTGTGTGTGTGTGTGTGTGTGTGTGTGTGTGTGTGTGTGTGTGTGTGTGTGTGTGTGTGTGTGTGTGTGTGTGTGTGTGTGTGTGTGTGTGTGTGTGTGTGTGTGTGTGTGTGTGTGTGTGTGTGTGTGTGTGTGTGTGTGTGTGTGTGTGTGTGTGTGTGTGTGTGTGTGTGTGTGTGTGTGTGTGTGTGTGTGTGTGTGTGTGTGTGTGTGTGTGTGTGTGTGTGTGTGTGTGTGTGTGTGTGTGTGTGTGTGTGTGTGTGTGTGTGTGTGTGTGTGTGTGTGTGTGTGTGTGTGTGTGTGTGTGTGTGTGTGTGTGTGTGTGTGTGTGTGTGTGTGTGTGTGTGTGTGTGTCCGTCTGTTACGAAATTCGTAGAGCGTGTTCCAGCCAGCGTTTTAAGCCCAAATTTTGCATAGCGCATGCTACCTTCATGAAAGTTCAACGTGCAAAAGCACGAATAGATTCGTTGAATGGGTCCCTCAGAAATTGCGCGCCAAACGGATCCACCTGGCTTCTGTCCCGCAAAATTGGGTCCATATCACCACTTTTTGCAAAGTCCTGGATGTGTTTGGTAAGCAAATGTGCAAGCGATGGACTTTAGCCCAAAAAGTGGTCAAAAGTTTGCTACATAACGAAAACGGCGCCAGAAAGAGTTGGTTGCGTAAATGGTTAATTTGCTAAGGTTCTAGCTAAGCGTTTCAAAAGGTTTTCGCACGGAGATGTAGCTCACGGTTACTATTGCCTTTAAGGAGACTACCAAGCCATGACAACTTCAAAAACCTATTCAAATTTGCGTTTGTCTTCCTACGAAAAGTTTCATCCACGCGAAATCACCGATCTCACGTGAAAAAACTTTCTGAATGAGTAGCCGTTTACATTTAATTCGTGGTAGTCGGCATAGTGCGGTAAGTTCCATTGCCACGATTTTACGAGAATGAGTAAGGCACATAGATAGTAGAGCCAGTGCGAGCCTCTGCGAAGCAGAGGTGACGCACTGGTTATAACGCTATGGGAAGGAGAAAAACATTGTATTGTATCCTGTAGAGCTTGCCCTATTTATACATTTCTTACGCTTCTTCAAGGACTTAGTGCAAAAATTCAGGAAATTAGCGGCACTTGCCATGGCAAAAACCATGAGTCGCGGTTTTCGGTAATTTTCTGAGAGCTCGCTTGTTCAACTGCAACATAAAGGAGATCATTCGAAAGAGCATGAAAAACTGCATTGAAAGCTTTCCAAATGTTTTGCAAATCCTTGTTCTGCGGAATGTGGCCTTGTTCAAAAAGCGAAAATACTTTCAGGACAGCCTAATCTTAATGCACTCAAAGATAAGCCAAATATGCCGAAGAATCTACAAAGACAACAACGTGGGAATCACTTTTACTCGTTAGTAAGACCTAACCCAGCTCAGTTTCACTCCCAACCAAAGAATTGATAGAGAGCATGACGAAAAATAATTTACAGTCTTAAAGAATTCTTTTTACATTTACTTGGTAATTGGCATGAGGATGCCACTATTTATCAGATTTAAAATGGACAGATTAACAGCAAAATTTCGGGACTGAGTAGATCCACCAATAAATTTGTTGCCAGGCTCTTCTTGTGACGAATAAATGTTCAGCTGCCTATCCTACCCTATGCTTTTGCGTGGAAAAGAAAGTACATTTGTCATTTGGAACAGTCAACTACAATTCAAGTTATAACCCAAAATTTTTTTTACGAAGCCTGCGCAATTTAATCTAACGTGCACGTATTATGCATGGCTATCTAGTGCTATGGCCGATTCTCGCGCTAGATAACCATGAAGATTTGGAACATTCACGATCTTCTGTGTCGACGAACAGTCTTAGACATGCGCGACGCTCGGAATTCACCACTAAAACAGGTAACAGGTATTGATTTATTTTGTTGCATTCAGAGATTACAGATTACAGAGAGAGATTACAAGCTTTGTTTTGAGAAAAGTTATTGTTTAAAATGTTCAGGATGTTTTCTACTTCTTCCTGCTCAACGCTTCATCCGGTTTCATGCTCTCTGCTGCTCACAATGTGCTTTACTTTGTGCTGGATATCAGAACACCTGTAATCCATTTTTTGCACAACTTTTTCACATTCTGGTTCATGGTGCTGCTTTACACACTCGGATGTATTCCAAAAGGATCGCTCCCAATTCAGGTGCATTTTCTGTTGTACTATCGATATGAGCAAAGGACCAGCATCAACACCCATTTGAAGACTGCAAATATCCTGCTAAGAATATAAAGTACATCCCCTTTAGGAGTTCCGAATTCCTATTGCTCATTCGCAAAATCGACAAGGAGAGTTATATCTGGTTAGGTAAGTAGATGAACACAAAAGTGCATACTGATGCTTGCAAGTAATTGGACGTACTTTCAGAATTTTTGATTTTCTCTTTACATTCACCGTTCTTGCCATGTGCAAGATGATCGTGCCCGAAAGAGTCAACGGAAAGCCAACGCCTGCACTCATGGTAAGTCTTACTTCGGCAGTTTACTGAAATATCATGCGCTCTGAACTGGATCTACAGTATCAATACGCATACGTTTTATTAGGTTGGTGCAAAAGTAATGCGCGTTTTGCGAGTTCAATTTGACGTGCTTTAACTTTCTTACATTTCCTGCTGCGATAAAGACCATTAGAAGCAGAAAACCTTTCGCAATACAGCGCACATCCTCTTATAATCATATCACAGACGGCCAGAAAATTATCGATTGAAAAGCAAAAAAAGTTTTTTCCTGAAACTTTTTGACTGGTCATAACATCCTTCAAAATTTGTCAGTAAAAATGCTAAGTAGCCTATCCTGCAAGCCAGTACAAAATAAGATGGAAAGGGCTCAAACAAAGAAAATTTGCTAAAAGAGAAAAATCAAAGTCTAAAATTGTCAGATTTTTTCGGCATTTTTTCGTAGGGCTCGAAGTCCCAAAACATGAAGTTTTTTTGGTTTTTTGCGTACTGAAGAGCTAAATGTTTCTGCAAACACTGTCAACAAGAGGTCTACGCTTACGCTCAAACAAATGAGATTGGCGATTGCATTCTTCAAAAGAGATTTATGGGCCACATAATGATTAAAACGACTCCGGCGGTTGAGGCGCTGATATCTCAGTCTAAATAAGTTTTAAGAAAATGACAAAGTGTGAATAATGTAGACAATTTCTACTACATACTGTAGCTGAAATTTCAAAAGAATGTCGCAATTCGCGTTTGATTTTTGGCCAGAAATGTAAATGCAGTGAAATTCTGTTATCAGTTGCGGTTGTGTAAAGCTCTGCATATTTCTAACGAGTGAAGCTAGAAGCTTGTTTCAACTACCATTGGATAGAGCATGAAAAGAGCTTCTCAATGTCATGCCAAGCCTTTCTCAGAGGAGAAAGTTTGATGGATAAAAGTTATTCCTGAAACCGGGGCTATAGAAGCAAGCGCGCATTACTTTATCACCAACCTAAACAGCAGTATCGCTCATATTCGTCAAGAAGTAGCGAAATTCACCGATGTTCACCGAAATCCGCGTTGCATCGCCATATCCTGATACAGAGTGAACGAACGAATTCAAGGGCACCGCTCTTCTAAGGGGAGGCGCATCTTCTAATCTATCTATATGTATATATATATGTATATGTATATATATGTATGTATATATCATAACTTATAATAACGGGCTAAGGATGTTTACGTGACTTTGTGTGTGTGTGTGTGTGTGAGTGTGTCTGTTACGAAATTCGTAGAGCGTGTCCCAGCCGACCTCCTGGGCTCAAATTTTGCACAGTGCATGCTATTCGCATGAAAGTCCAACATGCAAAAGCACGAGCAGATTCGTTCAGTGGATCCCTCAGAAACTGCGCGCCAAACGGGTCCACCTGGCTTCTGTACCGCAAAATTCGGTCCGTATCATTACTTTTTGCAGAGTCGCGGATGAGTTTGGTAAGCAAATGTGCAAGCGCTAGAGCTTAGCCGGAAAAGTCGAAAGTTTACTACATAACGAAAACGGCGCCAGAAAGAATTGGTTGTGTAAATGGTCAATTTGCCAAGGTTCTAGCTAAGCGTTTGAGAAGATTTTCACACAGAGATATAGCTCACGGTTACTATTACCTCTATGGCGACTATCAAGCCATGACAGATCCGAAAACCTATTCAAATTTGCGTTTTTCTTCCTGCGAAAAGTTTCATCCACGCGAAATCACCGATCTCACGTGAAAAAACTTTCTAAATGAGTGGTTGTTTACATTCTATTCGTGGTAGTCGGCATAGCGCGGTGAGTTCCAGTGCCACGATTTTACGAGAATGAGTAAGGCACATAGATAGTAAAGCCAGTGCGAGCCTCTGCGAAGCAGAGGTGACGCACTGGTACTTATATAAAACTCAAAGTTTGTCTGTAAGTTGCTAAAGAGTTTGTGTTTTATAGAAATCTTTCTGAGTGGACCGATTGAGCTGAATTTTGCTCCCATACAAATAAGCCACGGCGCGGAACATAGGCTACTTTTCGCGACAATTCGTTGGGTCCTTCTATCGATTTATTGATACATGCGGGAAAATGGGAGCCTATCACACCATTTCATAAATTGCTCTACAGTGAGCAGTACAGCTCATTCTCTATCTTGGCAAAAGGAACTTGGTGAAGGAAACCCCAAGTAGGTTCTTGCAACTCAAGAAGGACCACAGCCTGTTCTAGGCGAAAGCGGTTTCCTTACGTGAGGCGGCGACGGATACGATGCGTACTTAACCAACAACTGAGATCTTGAGTCAAGCTAAGATTTGATTCAGCTGCTTAGCTCACGTGGATCGATCGTCTCTGTATGGTTCTAGACCAAAGGTTCAAAACCGCTCAGAGACGGTCGGCTTACGGGTATTGACGATAATAATCATCATGATAGTTGCCGTTCTTATCAGCCTGTCAGTGGAGTTTTTGACGCTGCTGATGAATCGACCATCCTGCGTTCATTTCTCCTACGCGGTCATCCCTGTGATAATGTTTTCTTTCTTTAATGTTTCCTGATGTAAAAGAGAAATGGTTTCCGACCTTAAAAGAGAGGTAGTTACCGACCAATGTTATGACTGACGGGAAAATGTGAGTCAAATTCTGATCATTACTTGATGCATAAGCAATACACCGGTGACTACCGGTTAAGATTAGTAATATATGGACCCTTAAACAAGCACTGCATCAATTGCGAGGCCAGCAAAGTTGCAATTGACCAGCAGTTGCAATTCTTTGTTGAAAGATTTCGATTTGCAGATAAACTCAATCATAGGCTATGGTCTTGCATGTCACACATATCTGCAAAAGTGGTGAATAATATTATCCCGGACAAGGCCGTTTACTATATACCCTCGATATCAACCCATATGTCTTCCCTCAGCATGACGTGGAATATGTGGGTTGGTAAGGCTCCGCCTCGCTTTGGGCTTGCGCCGGCGACGCGCCGACGTTGCGGGCGCATCGTTTGGCGTGACGTGGTGCTTATAATAACGTGGCGCAGGATTTCACACGTTGTTCTTCTTGTCACACCACGTCAAAGATACGCACGCAACGTGGTGCAACCTTGAAGCGAGGCGGCGCCTCGCCAATCCACGTAATCCATGTCATGTTGAGGGAGGACATATGGGTTGATATCGAGGTTAAAACTCAAAATTGTCAGTTTGGAGGCTATGTGTGCCATAAAAACGCGCGCCGCTCAACCAGGCTAAAACTTTGCACACATATGTTTTCGACCCCTGCGCAGACGATATGCTACTTATTGCGCAATTTGTAGGGTCCTTCTATCGATTTATTGATCTGTTTACGTTTTTCTATGGAATTGAAGGCTTAAAGGCTGTTCAATCAAGCATTTTCTCATAGTCATGTAAAGGAGGGCAGTGAAGCTCATTTTCACCTCAGGATCACGAGGGTGCGATGAATTTAAGTGGATGCCGCAAGGTAAGTCATCCATAAGATTTAAATGAGGGGGAGGGGGCTCGCAGTGCAGGTGAACAATGGCCCTGGCTGGACAGGTAAAGCCCACTAGTATATATCCAAAACTCAAAGTGTGTTTTAATAAGTATGTTTTTTAGACAAATCTTTCTGAGTGGACCAAAGAGCTGAAACTTTGCATGATTATGTTTTCGACCCCGGCGCAGAACATAGGCTACTTTTTGCGGCGATTTACTGGACCCTTCTATTGATTTGTTGACTTGTTTAATACATCTGGGAAAATGAGGCTTGACATGCTTTAACCAATCATTTTGCCATGATCATGTAGTCAGAGATGGTAAAGCTCATTGTAATTTCAATGTCCTGAAGATGCTGGCAATTCGTTTCAATCCCTTTTTGCACAGAAGAAGCTCAAAAACATAAGTACAAGTAACTTCTTCTTGGCTAAACTGGAGTCCCGAGTGAAACCGGGGACGCCGGCTAGTAGGTATATAAAGGTTCCCGTTTGGGTACATTAGTCGTAAGGTAGGCGGTCAAATTTCACATATCGTCTTAGATTTTTGCTTACTGTAAGCTATCCACTTTTATTCATTGCACACTGACAACCTACCGTAGCCAAAAATCTATTTAATTTGAGCACCATCTATCCAAACGGGCACTTCTATATACAAGGGCTTTTAATCTGAGTGTCACAGTCGGCGCCGCTGGCGAGACGCCTCGCGGGTATCTCGCCGCGTTCGCCCTCAGTGGATAAAATATTTTTGCATGCTTGAGGCGTGGGAAATACCGTGTCTTTAGGGATGAGCGAACTTAGGTCCCCTGTCAGCCGGACTGAGGGCCGCATTAACATCCCTTCGGGGAGGGGATCGCAGCTCAAAAGAAAGATTTATGTCTTGAAGCTCCAGATATATGGGATTCACGGTGTCTAGCCATCCGAAAGTATTCCTACTGTTATTAATCATGAATATATTGAACAGGAGCGAGAAATTGTACAAACCGCGTTTTCCAGCTTTTTGTATGATCCGCTGATGATCTCCGGCGGCCAACCGTCTTGTTTTTTAAAAGTCATATTTCTTTCTTCGGAGTTAACAAAACCATTCCATAATACCGCATATTCAACTCAGCAGTGCTAAGCATGTTGCTGAGAAAAGCAAATGAGTTTTTGAAATATCGAATTTTTCGACAGACCCCAATTTTCGACTTGTTGTTCACCGCAAATTGCATGACTCCAATACACTGTTTGTTCTTATCAGCAGCATGCTTAGCACTGTTGGATTAGATAATTTGTACAACCTTGGAAGCTCTTCATTAGCTTTGGAGAAAGGAAAATGATCTCGGCGAAAAGATAATTGGCCGCCGGGGATCATCAGGGGATTACGCAGAAAGCTGAAAAATGCGGCTTGTACAGCTTTTCGCTCCTGCTCAATATGTACGTAGTGAAGGATAGTAGCCATATTGCGGATAGGTAAGCGTGAAATGCAGATATCTATAGCTCCAGGATATGAAGCTTTCTTTTAAGCTGCGTTCCCCTCCTCAGCGGGTATGTTAGCATGCGGCCCTGAGA